ATATATATATATATATATATATTTTAAAAAGACACCAAAATCAGGTATTTCTAGCATAGGAAAAAACTAAAATGAAAAGACTAACAGGGAAAGTTAGTATAAAGGTAAATTCTTAGGATTATTTTTCCTTAGTTCAATCAATTCCAAGACATTTTAAAAGTTGAAAGCAATTTCATTCAGGCTCTGTTGCAAAACTTGGCTCTAAATCAATTGATCCATGAAAACAAGGATTTCAGCCAGCAAAATATTTTCTTTGAAGTCTGGCAAGAAAACAGCTCTACAAAGATTGAACTGTAAAAAGAGGTGAAAACATGCCAAGTCTAGTACAGATACAAACAGAAAAAAACAATTTACACAGGATAAATACTGTAAAGATTCCTGAAAAAATATTACAAAAGAGAGATAATTTGGTTTCTTCCGAGTTTCTCACTTTTTACTTCACTCTAGGGAAGCAAAGGAAAGGTAACAGTTCCTAAGGGCAGCGGTTCTCAGGCTTCAGTGTGGGTGTGGATCAGAATCAGCTGGAGGGCTTTTAGATCAGGAAGGTCAGGGGTGGGACTTGATAATTTGCTTTCCTAACAAGTTCCCAAGTGATGCTGATCATCATGATTTGGAGACTGCACTTAGAGGGCCAGTATAATCTCAAACTCCAGGCAAGTTCAAAGCTTTCATAAATGTCTGTTTCTCTTATTCAAACAAAACAAAAAGTGCCATCTACCTTTCTCAAAATGACAACAATATGTTTCCCCCTTAAAAAAGAAAACTAGAAATAGAAGTCAAAGCATTATATAATCCACAAAGGTTACTAAACAGGTAATTAAGATCTCTGTGTACTTCACTGATTCTGTGAAGTACAAACTTGTTCCTTCACTTTAACATCTCTGTTAAATAAAAAAATATATAAATCTTATGAATTGTCATAGTTTGGCAGTATTTTTTGCTGTCTTAGGCAACTTAAATAAGAACCCAGATGATCTTATTATAGAGCTTCTTGGAGTTGACGCAGTATTAAGCATAAAGAACCAAGCTCTTTTGGGAATATAACACACTTAAAAAAGGAAGGAGAGTTGCAGGAGAAAATGCAATTTTATATCCATATACCCTGGAGTTACTATGTACGGCCTCTAGAAGAAAATATAAGTGTACAATACCCAGCAGTCAGATGTCAATGCTCAAGACTTTTATTAAGAGTGAGGATCTGGCCCGGTGCAGTGGCTCACACCTGTAATCCCAGCACTTTGGGAGGCCAAGGCGGGTGGATCACGAGGTCAAGAGATTGAGACCATCCTGGTCAACACGGTGAAAC